ATTCAGGGCCACAGGAACGCGGTGCTCACACAGCAGCTACTCCCTGCCTGGTGCCAGCCCACTGTACAGATCTGTGCATAAACCTGGCCTGTTCTGTCCCTTCTCTGGAAACAGATCACAGGGTGTCCCCATGAGCCCACAGGTGCACCAAGAGGAAGAAGCAGCAACAGGAGGCACCATGGGCATCTGAGCCACTTACTGAGGCACTCACCTGTGCCCTCTGGACCCGTGAACCTTAGCTCATACACACCACGCACTTTTCCCATGGATGATGGAGGCAGTGTGCACGCCCAGTGTCATGGTTGGGCAGCTCATATAGCACCCAGCATGTGATGTGCAGCTCAGGTCAGGATGCTCTTGGTGGACCAGAGTCCAGTATGCAGACTCGCCAGGGACACAGTAAGAAGCCAGGAGCTGCTTGCTTGCTTTCTTTTTAAAAAGATTTTATTTATTTATTTGACAGAGAGAGAGATCATGAGCAAGGGGCAGGGGCAGAGTGAGAGGGAGAAGCAGGCTCCCCACTGAGCAGGGAGTCCAAAGCAGGACTCGATCCCAGGACCCTGAGATCACGACATGAGCTGAAGGCAGACGCTTAACTGACTGAGCCACCAGGTGCCTCAGAAGTTGCTTTTTAAATGGAAGATAGTTACTTGCAAAAAGAGACATATCTTTGCTCCCAAACCCTGAATTTCTCACTGTGATTTTCCTGTTATCTCTTTAAGTCACAGAAGCTTTCCATGATGTTGGGTCTGTTGGGTCACATGCCTTTCATTTGAGTCCCTTCCTGATGTAGGATCTCCTCAAAACTGGCAGTCTTGGGGCGCCTGGGTGGCTCAGTCAGTTAGATGTCTGCCTTCTCTGCCTTTAGCTCAGGTCATGATCCCAGAGTTCTGGGTGAAGTCCCGCATCACGCTCCCTGCTCAGCAGTGAGCCTGCTTCTCCCTCTCCCACTCCTCCTGCTTGTGCCCTCTCCCTCCTCCCATCACTCTCTGTCAAATAAAATCTTTTTTTTTTTTGAGATTTTGTTTATTTGACACAGAGAGAGGGAGCAATAGAGGAAACAAGCAGGGGGAGCAGGAGAAGGAGAAGCAGGCCCTCGCCGAGCAGGGAGCCCGACGCGGGGCTCGATCCCAGGACCCTGGGACCACGACCTGAGCCGAAGGCAGAGGCTTAATACTGAGCCACCCAGGCTGCCCCTCAAATAAAATCTTAAAAACAAAAAACAAAACAAAACAAAACTGGCAGTCTTGTGGGTTTGCGCAGAAATGAGTAAGAGTAGCATGTCAAAATTTGCTACATCTGCCCCCCTCCCCGCCCCAAATCTTAAGGGATCTTTTTTCCTAAAGGTGTAGCAGATTGTCTCAGAAGGAGTACAGCGGTCCCCCCTGCCCCTCAGTAAGCCATGGTCTGGAAGCAGATGATCCCTCTTCTGACATATGGTCACTGAACATGGGTTACCACACCTATGTCATTCCCCTCTCTTCACCCCAATAGGTAGGCATTTTATCATCTCATGTCATCACACAAAGAAGGGTGAGTCCAGCACAATAAGACATTTTGAGAGAGAGATGCACCACATGCACATAAATTTTATCATAGTATCTTATAACTGGTCTGTTTAAGATTTTATTTATTTATTTGACAGACAGAGATCACAAGTAGGCAGAGAGAGAGAGGAGGAAGCAAGCTCCCCGCCGAGCAGAGATCCTGATGTGGGGCTCGATCCCAGGACCCTGGGATCATGACCTGAGCCGAAGTCAGAGGCTTTAACCCACTGAGCCACTCAGGTGCCCCGACTGGTCTGTTTTTTATTAGTCATTATGATTCATCTCTTTCTGCCTCTTATGTATAAATTGAACTTTATCATACATATGTATGGACAGGAAAGGCACATGGTACATATAGAGCTTGGTGCTACCACAGTTTCGGACATCCACCGGAGGCTTTGGAAAGTCTCCTCCACCCATACGGGAGGACTACTGTTTGGGGACATTCCCTAGAACTATGGGCCCCTAGGATTTACACCAACATGATAGAGGGCTTATCGCCCACCCTCTGACACACACGTATCTTTTTTTTTTTTTTTTTAATTTTATTTATTTATTTGATAGAGACAGAGATCACAAACAGGCAGAGAGGCAGGCAGAGAAAGAGGGGGGAAGAGCAGGCTCCCTGCTGAGCAGAGAGCCCGATGCGGGGCTCGATCCCAGGACCCTGAGATCATGACCTGAGCCGAAGGCAGAGGCTTTAACCACTGAGCCACCCAGGTGCCCCGACACACACATATCTTACTCCTGCATCATCTTGAGTGCTTGCTACCTCTTGTTCACTGTGTCTGGTTTTTTTTTTAAGATTTTATTTATTTATTTGACAGATAGTGATCACAACTAGGCAGAGAGGCAGGCAGAGAGAGAGAGATCACAAGTAGGCAGAGAGGCAGGCAGAGAGAGAGGAGGGAAGCAGGCTCCCCGCTGAGCAGAGAGCCCGATGTGGCACTTGATCCCAGGACCCTGAGATCATGACCTGAGCTGAAGGCAGAGGCTTTAACCCACCGAGCCACCCAGGCGCCTCCACTGTGTCTGTTTAAATAATATAAGTCCCTCAATGAAGTGGAGCAGTGTGATGTCCTATAGAAACTCAGATGATCTGGGTACCTCTGAACTCTGTTATAGGACAGTGCAGGACTGCTGACCTCCTTCAATGGCAGCGGCTCACGTCCATCCAGAGCCATCATCCAAAGAATCCCTGCAAGGCCTGAGCATTATACCTTTGGCCAGTGCCCAACTCCCCCCGATCAATGGCCTGCAGTCTTTCTGGTATAGGGGAAGAGTACCGTCTACACCCGTGGTTGCACTGCAGGGTCTTTCTCAAATGGACCCAGTCTCTGGGTCCATGAGCTGCCGGGTCATGAGCAACCCAAGAGGTGCTGATAATCATCCCACTGACTTTACAGAAGAGGGTGAGGCAGTGGGAGAGGGGAAATGAATGACCCAAGGCTACACAATCAGGGAGCAACAAGATCCGGCCTGGTAGCGGAGTTTCACACACCTACAGCTGTAAGCCTTTTTGCTAAACAGTTCCACACCCAGCCTTGCATTTGCCCCTTGAAATAGGTGAGACTCCCAGGAAGGTTGTCTTAATATCCTGACTCTGGCCTGCATTGCCAAGTCTCTGCCAGCCTCTCCATTCTCAACACCTATCACTTCCCCCTTCCTTTTCTGCAGCTGAGCCACCTGCTTTCTTTCTAAGCCTCACCTAAGCAAGGAGTGGTCCCACCTCAGGGCCTTTGCACCTGCTCTTCCTTCTGCCTGGAATGCCTTTCCCACATGCCTTTCATGAGAAGCTCTTTCTTTGCCTCTGTTCTCAGCTCACAGGTCACCTCCTCCAGGAAAACTGCCCTGATCCAGTTCACTCACTCACTTTCACATCACCTGGTCTTCACCCTGCCCAGCACCCAGCACCTTTTGTGTGTGTGTGTGCATGCTCACATGTTTGATCAGTTTCTCTCTCTCTCTCACTTGGGTGTAAGCTCAACAGAAGCTGAGCCTCATTCTTGTTGGTCCTCTGGAGTCCCCCAGCAGCTGGGATGGTGTCTGGCACAGAGCTCAGCCTCAGTGAATATTTGTGGACTAAAAGCAAGATGTCTCACTGACCACCTATGACCCTCTGTGTCTTTGTCTACCCTTCCTTCTCCTCTTCTTCCAGAAACACTGCTTTAGGCCATGTCCATCTCCAGAGGGCACCATTTCCACAGCTACAAGGGTCTTCATTGGGGAGGAAGTGGTGTTTCCATGGAGCACGACCTTTGCAAATACTAGTGACGGCTCTGTTCCCATCTTCCCCCATCTTTCATTCATTTGTTCAATCAGTACTCACTGAGTACATATTATGTGTCCTACAAGTAGTGTAGACATGGTGGGAATCGTGTCTCTGCCCGTGGGGCAACGTTTACACTTGCAAACATAGAATGTATAAAGATGTCAAAAAGAAACTGTAAGTTACACCGTCTCTCCTCTGCTGCTGTTACCCACCCACCCACCCCACCTTCCTCTTCCTCCTACATGCATTTGTCGACTCTGCAGTCACCAGCAAGACTTTTATTCTTCTCTGGCCCTCTCCTCCCCAGCGTGCTGGAGCTGGTGTGTACAGGCTTGCAAAAGCCAATGGTTAAATATTTCAGAATGTTGCGAGCTGATTGTTAAATGATAGGTAGCTCTAAGTCTAACGGGGCAGGGGTTTTATACCACGGAAAAAGGCCCCGTCACAAGGCATGTTGTGCTGATGCTGTTTTTCTGAGGAGCTGGTTTTCTAGCATATCCCCGGGGAAGAAACTTTGCTTTGTCAAGGAATAGCCTGTCTTTGATAGAGACTCACTTTCCATGACCACTACCCACCCCTCCCCAGAAGGAACTTCAGCTCCCTGGTGGGTTACCCCAGAGGTGGAGACTCTGGGGCCTGGTCTTGTGCTAGGAGTGGGGGGAAGAGAGGAAGGGAAAACAGGAGGTAGCATTGGGGAATATGGGAATAAAAAGGCAAGCAATTTAAGAAAGAGAAGTAAGAAGCAAGAACCCATGGTGGACAGAGGTTAGACCAGGGGGTAACCAGTGTCCACCGCACAATGTCCTCACAGGTGGTTGTGCCATATCCCCAGTATCTCCACCTGTGGTCGGAAGGTGGCCAGGCTGTCCTGAAGAAACTGCTTTCCCAAACTACCCTGAAACAGCGTGGGGGTGGGCACCCACCAGGTGGGGCTCAGAAGGAAAAGGGGGCTGGGAGCTGGACCAGTGGGGCCGGCATATTTCTAAGTGCTGGGCATCAGGGAGCCTGGACTCCTGGGTCCGGGGAAAGAGAGGAGACCCAGATTTCCCATCCAGTGAGACTCAGAGGGTGGCCCAGACCTCCTCTATCAGGGTTCTCCCTCCCACCCTTTCCTGGCAAGATATAAAAGGGCAGGGTACCCAGAAGCAAGAGCAGGAGCAAGAGTTCCAGCCTCCCTGACCATGAGCCCTGCCTTGCAGCTGGCTATCCTGGGCACGACCCTCATGCTGCCCCGTGAGTGGGGACCCCAACCTGGGAGGGCCTTTTCCTGGAGGATGGGCTCAGATGTATTTCTCTTCCCATCTCAGGAGTGCAGGCCCTGATCTGTCAGTGGGGGACACATAAGTCTGTGAGGAGCATATTGGAACTGCCCCTTAAGTGGACGTCTGGTAACGAGTCATGTGAGGATGGCTGGGGTTGCCAGGACACGCTGATCCTCATCGAGAACGGTGAGCAGGGCCCTGTGGGCCCCAGGCCTAACTCCTACCCTCTCCGAGGAGAGGCATCCTTCCCTGCCCAATCCTACTGTACTGTGTAGGGACTCGGAAGTCCTGCCCCTCTCAGCCAAGAAGCTGTCTCCTCCTCAGCAGGAATAGTCCCTGGGTTGCCTACTCACCTTTCCAGCCTTTCACCCCAGACCACTTTGCAGACCCTCCTGCTAGGCCTCTGGAGTCCTGATCCCTGCCTCTCCTCCCTCAGACTCAGGAACCCAGCCCCCCACTCCCCCATCTCTCCTCCCTCAGACCCAGGAGTCCAGGCCCCCCAACCCCCTCCTCCTCCAGACCCAGAAGTCCAGATCCCCAGCCCCCTCCTCCCTCAGACCCAGGAGTCCAGGTCCCCAGCCCCTTCCTCCTCCAGACCCAGAAGTCCAGGTCCCCAAGCCCCCTCCTCCCTCAGACCCAGGAGTCCAGGTCCCCAGCCCCCTCCTCCCTCAGACCCAGGTGTCCAGGTCCCCAGCCCCTTCCTACCTCAGACCCAGAAGTCCAGGTCCTCAGCCCCCTCCTCCCTCAGACCCAGGAGTCCAGGTCCTCAGCCCCCTCCTCCCTCAGACCCAGGAGTCCAGAGCCTGATTCTCTTTTGTTGCAGGACCCCAAGTGAATGTGGTGATCTCCAAGGGCTGCATCCCAGTGGCAGATAAGGATGTCCTCATCAGGGAGCACAGTGCAGGCCCTGGCCTCTCCATCCTCTCTTACACCCATGTGTGCCGGGAGAAAGACAACTGCAACAGCCTGTCCACCAGCCTCCCACTCTGGGCCCTGCCGTCCACCACAGGTGCGGGGTGGGAGGAGCTGGGGGAGAAAAGGGGCCGGCAGGCACAGGGGAGCAGCAGGGCTGAGGAGTGAAGTGAGCACAGAGGCAGCTTCCACTTAGATTCCTCTTCCCTCCCAACTCCCTGTCCACTCTGTCTGGGGCTCCCTCCCTCACCACCCCTTCTTCTATTGGTCCTGGAGCAGCAAATCACACTGATTTCCTGGTGTTCAACCACCTAGCTTAGACTCAGGCATGGCCCTAACCCAGGGCGTGCTCCTTTCTCCTTGTCTTCCTCCTTCTCTTCCTCCTTTTTTCTTCTATTTAGAATTCGATTCACTCGTGTTTTATTTAGGGTTTTGGCAGTTCCTCTTCCAAAGTGAAATTAGCCTGTAACTTTAATTTTTTTTTTATTTGAGTCTAGTTGATACACAATGTGACATTAGTTTCAGGTGTGCAAAAGTGATTGGACAACTCTGTGTTGTGCTGTGCTCACTACCGGGGTAGCTCCCTTATGTCCACACAACCCTGTTACAGTATCATTAACTGTACTGTCCTTGTCTGGTACCCCAAATCAGGTTTGGGGCAACGTTTGTGCTTCTCTACTCCTTGGAATAGTTTGTGAACACGAGGGTCTAGAGTTCTTGGACTGTTTCATGGGACCTGTGGGTGAATCCACTGGTTCCTCCTGGCGTACCCCTCCCCCACTGCACCCCATCCTGTGCCCAGGCTCAGGTGTCCCTCAGGGCTTCTCCTGTTCCTTGCCCCACCCCTTGCTCTCTCCCTTGCCACCTATCCCTGATTCCCTGGTGTGCCTGCAAGGGAGGGGCCAAGGAGGGCACATCTGTGGGAGACTGGGGAGGTTGCTTCTTGGGATCAGCAAAGCAGGGGGCGGGGGGTGGTGGAGAGCAGGCCCCATCCAAATCCAGAGCCCTTGCCTCACCTCCCCAGGCCCAGGCTCCCTGCGGTGTCCAGTCTGCTTGTCTACAGAAGACTGTGAGTCTGCCACAGAGCTGATGTGCCCGGCCGGGAGCACACACTGCTACCAGGGGGCAATCCAGCTCAGGGGAAGTGAGCCAGGACAGGAGGTCCCCGTGGGCCATGGGAAGTGGGGTGCTGAAGCGGTGGGAGGAGGGGTCTGAGGACCAAGATCTGGGGCCTGAGGAGGGTGGCCGCCCGGGGGGCGAGGTGGTTCCAGCAGTGTCTCTCTCCCTCCCTTCCACCCACCCCCCACCCCTGTCTACAGGGAATATCTTCAGCATTCTGAGAGTCCAAGGATGCACGGCCCAAGCAGGCTGCAACCTGCTCAATGGGACTCAGAAAATCGGGCCCATCGAAATGAGTGAGGACTGCAGCCCTAGAGTATCAAAGAGCAGTGAGTATCTAGTAGCAGTGAGTATCAGCGCACTAGAAGCACCTAGGGTTGGGGGGGGTGCGCTAGGAGGAGCCTTGAGGAATCTGAACGTTTATTAAGGTCAGATCCGTGGGCCTTTGGCGGCAGAGTTTAAGGACTAGGAATTTCATGTTGAGAGGGATGGGGACCTTGTAGAGGCTTCCAAGCAGAGGAGAGACCTGAATGGACTTACCCTCTTACAAGGATTCCCCCTTGGCTGCTGGGGGCGGGGGCGGGAAATCAGGGGAAGCAGGTTGAGTGCCAGCACCTCCGCCCTGGGGGAAGCAGTGGAGACAGGTGGGAAGCCTGCAAGGTCCTGGCGGTATTTTGCAGCTGAAGCCACAGGATTTCCTGATGGGTGCAACCTGAGGGAAAGGCGATTGTCCAGAGTTCCAGCAATAATTTCCTGGGGCAGCTGCAAGACAGGAGGGGCCGTTGAGCAAGACAGGCAAAGGGCGGTTGTGTCATCTGCAGAGTGGGGTGCAGGAGGGTAGATGAGCAGGCCTCCCTCCCGGGGCCTTTGGTGAAGGTCGCACATTTTGTGGTAGCTGAGGATGGTCAGCACCCGCCCCAGGGAGCGGGAACACCTGTATTCCGAGCTCAGCTCTGCCAGTCGCCAGGGATAGGACGTGGGGCAAGCTCCTGCACAAGTCCTCTGCCTCTGTTTCCCAACTTGACATTGGGGTGATGATTAAGCCACCTATGCTGGAGCTTGCTTTGAGGAAATGAGGTAACCTGGGTGAGGGGAGTCCCCTGGGGGGCCTACATGAGCTAGTCTATGGAAAGCAGCCACCACAGCCTGGCACATAGTAGATGCTCAGTGCGCACTAGGCGTTTGTGTATCTTGGTCAGGAACATAGGGTTTCTCAGTTCAAGGAAATAAATGGTGGGGGCGCCTGGCTGGTGCAGTGGGTTGAACGTCCAGCTATTGGCTTTGGCTTGGGTCGTGATTTTAGGGTTGTGGGATCCATCCCCACGTCAGGCTCCACACTCAGCTGTGGAGTCTGCCTGGGTTCCTGTCTCTTCCTCTCCCTCTCCCTCTGCCCCTCCCCCTCCTCTCTCTCAAATAAATAAATGCATATATATATACACATATATTATGTTTAGGGTTGATATATATTTTATAGATTTTTATATATTTATATTAATATATATTTATATTAATATATATTTATATAATATTAATAATATATATTTATATGATTTATATTTATATAATATTAACATAATATTAATTATATACTAATTAATATATTATTAATTATAATATTAATATAATATAAATGTATTTATATAGATTTATAGATCTATATATATTAGATATATATCTATATATAGATATATATATATTGATGGATATATCTATAGATGTCCATATATATAGTGGCAGGCTGACCACCTCCTCCAGATGAGGGCCCAGAGAGGGCAAGTAGATTTTGACTTAGGCCAAAGAAGAGCCATTGCACCTGTCATACCCAAAGGGAGGAGGGGCCTTCCTCAAGGACCCTTGGGAAAGGCTCCTACAAGTGTTCAGACAAAAACAGGGTAAAGAATGGGGATGGGACCCCGACTTCCAAGGTCCCTTCTAAATCTGAGATTGAGGGACTCTGTGGCCAGGTCAGCTGGAGAGTGACCCAAGAATGTAGCCACCTTCCCAAGCACGGGAACCAGAGGGATGGACATGGCTGATTCCCTGGCTTACACAGACCCTTACACACCAACTTCTTCTCCCTAGATTTTCTGACCTGTGAACGGGGGGGTCACACTGTACAGCGATCAAGACCTGTCTCAGATACCCCGCAAGTGGAACACAGATCACTACGAGTTTTGTAAAGTTGGGGAGGTGTGTCAGGAGACCCTTCTGCTCGTTGATGTAGGTACGTGGGCTGCATTCGGGGTCCCGAGTGTCCTCACCCTGGTTCCTGTCCCCCGAATTTCCTGCCAGGTTCCCCTGATGCCTCAGATTCTAAGTTCAGGACTTCCTCCTTATGTACCTTGGTTTGCCCTTCTGGAAACAGGTGAAATGACAGCAGTGCTAGCACCTACCTTGCTGGGTGGTTGTCATAGTCCGTGCGAGGGAGGGCCAAGAACAGAGCTGGCACAGAGTATAAGCCCACTGAGCTCCCGCCGTGTGCCAGGCACTATTTTAGGCACTGTGGACCCTTGCATCTTCCTTCCTCTGGCTTTACACACCAGTGGGGAAGCAAAAAAAAAACAAAACAGAGTCAGATGCGGATGTGAAGCTGAGAGCAACCCTGCGGGGGAAAGGAGTTAGGGAGAGTTAGAAGGTTCCCATTTGAAAGTGACAGCTCCAGGGAGGCTGTCCTGATCAAGTGTTGCATTTGCAGAAGAACTGATTAATGGCAGAGCTGACTCTCGCCCCGGCCTTCCCCCTACCCTCAGTGTGCCCTGTGCTCTAGAAACCAGGCACCTGCACTCAACTCTCTGTCTGCCTGCTGAGCATCGTGGGGCTCCATCTCCTGCCTCTGATCATCAGAGCCCCACTCCCCCAGCCCAGCTTTTGCTCTCTCACCCCCCCACCCACAGGACAAAAATCAATCATAGTTGGAAGCAAAGGCTGCAGCAAGGAGAAGACGCAGGATGCCCCGACCATCACCGTATACTCGGGGCCCCCCGGAGTGCTGGTGGCCTCCTATGCCCATTTCTGCTCCTCCAACAGGTGCAACAGGGCCAACAATACCAACGTCCTGCTAAAGTCTCTCCCTCTTCCGGGTGTGGAAGCCCAGTGGGTTGGGTGGGACTGGGGACACCAAGAGTTGGGAAAACACAGAGACTTCAGGGATCAAGGACGGTGGCTCCAGCTAGGAGCAGAGCTGTGCACCCCAGCCTTCCCTCTACTTTTCAGCTGATCCCCAGGAAACTTGCAGTGTCCCGTCTGTGTGAATCTCTTTGGATCCTGCCCAGAAAACCCAGAAAATGTTATGTGCCCCACTGGCACCACTCATTGTTACAGTGGTTACATTACGATCCGGGAAGGTGAGTGCTGATGGCCAGGTCCCAAGAATGCAGGGTTGGGGGCCTGGATTCACTGGTTCTGAGGTGGGAGGGTACTTGAGGCCCTGACTCAAGGGTTTGAGGGTGGGGTGGCTTGGGGACTCAGATTTCTAGGTGTCTGAGGGAGGAGAGGACTAAACACACTCTCCCGGTCTGAGGAGGCTGGGGGGATCTGGGGTTTCTGGGTCTTAGGACTTTAGGCATGCTGTCCTTTGAAACCTCTCTGACTCACTCTCTAGGTGGGGTATACTCCAACTTGAATATTCAGGGCGGTGTGACCCAAGCTTCCAGCTCCTTGCTGAACCATGCACAGAAGATCGGGGTCTTCTCGGTGACTGAGAACTCTGAGGAAGAGCCGGTGACTGAGAATAAGAACCTTATTCTCCAAGCTGGAGCGGCCCCTGTGCCCTTACTGGCTTGGGTGGTGGGGCTTGGGCTATCCCTAGCCCTCTGGTGTGAGATACCTCACTGCTGACCCCATTTCCCTATGATTCTTAGCTCCTTGCTGACGCCCTACCCAGCCTTTCTTTTGACCTCATAACCAAACAGCCTTGGCCACTAAATTATTTCCTTGCCCTCTCTGAGAATCATCATCTGCAGGCACAGCCATATACTTCAATGTCCTGATAACAACATACAGAAGCAGCTGGGGAAAGCTGAACTTGACCTCCTGGAGAGATCAGGAGTGGCCAAATGTGTCTGATAATAAAGACATCGTCCTTTCCCTGGATGCTGGGGTTTCTCTGTGTGCAGGGGAGGGCAGGACACACTCAGATCTGTTGCAGGGAGAGGAGGAGCCTCTCAGGACAAGGAGTCCATCTCAGGACATTCCTTCATTGTTCTGGTGCATGTCCCCATTCCAGCTTAGAGGTAGCAGAGCCTTCAGGATGCTTGGGCCAGAGGTATGTGGGTACCACTATGACCTGAGGTGGTGGTGTACCACTGATGAGGCTTTCCTCTTAGCTAGCAGGGCCCCAGCACAAAGGGGGATTCATCCTACCTGAGAAGCTTGACATAGAAGGTTTGCAGTTTCCTGAGGCTGATCTCCTTGGGTCTCTGTGATCATCCAAGGCCTGAGAAGGGAGAGGAGAAGTCCTCACCATTACTAGAATCTGTAGGGGGAAAGGTGTGTGGGGGAGGTTTTCAGAGGGCTGCCTGCTACACACTCTGATCTCAGGCTGAGAAAGCCACCCAGCCCATACCATAAGGAGGGAGCTGGGGAGTGAGCACCCCGGTCTTATTCAGTGTCCTTCTTCTGGTCTCCTGTTGGGGTTCCTCTTGACTTGACTTGAACCCAGCTGGAGGGCAGGCAGTCCCGTGATGCAGCCCCATAGATCTACCACCCACAGGGGGAACAGGGGGAGAAGGAAGTCCAGTGCCCAGCCCAGTCTACCCTCTTCCTCCTCACATCCACCTCTTCCCCTTGTCCAGATGAAAACTGGAGTCCTCAGTATAAGGGACACACAATTCCCATCTGTTACTTAAGCACAGCAACATGGTGTGCTGACGACAGTGAGTCAGAGGCTCAAGGCAGTAGACAGCCAGTTCTTGATATGCACTGTGCGAGGAAGATGGGGACAGGAAATCATGTAAAAACCAAGCTGCAAAGTTCCTCATGTGGAAGGGTGCTCCTTTCTCCACCCATTCCATATTGGCTTACTACCTGCCAACACCTAGTTTAAGAAAATTGTCATGGGACAGAAATCTTCATTCCTAGGAGGTGTGGGTATTTGATATTTATTGAGTGTCTGCAGTTTTCCATGGAGCAGGGCCACTGGCCTTGGAAATATGAAGATGTACCCCTCACATGTCACCTGGCTTACAAACATAGTCCTCCCTGACCCAGCGACCCAACCCCCCTTCGGCGGTCACGTTCCATCTGGCCATCAGCAGAATGCCCCTCCTCTTCACCGTGTGGAGAAGCACAAAATGTCTGGGCTGTAGGCATGGCTTCCAGTTGATTAGAGCTGTGAGGGGTTCCTCACCTACCCCAATTCCAAGAAGCAAGAATTCTTTAAGTGGGCTCTCGGTGGGAGTATGCAGTTGTGGGAGTGGCTCTCCCTTATTTACCTCTTGTCTCATGGACCTCCTGCATTCTGGCTGTGGGGGATGTGACATGATAGACTGACTGCTGGTCTGAGATGTACATTCCTGATGGATGCCAGGGTACCATCTCTCACTGGTGCCCTCGTAAGCCTTCAAGGGCCTTTCCATCACTCTGATAAGCCAACTGTCTCTGTGTTGTGGAGCACCTGGGAAGATCAGTGAGCTCCATGGCTATGAGTTAATGACCTCACCACCTCATGGGATATCATGACACTAGAAAAGACATTTTCTGAGTTTCCAAATGGCAGTGTTGACAGAAGCATTGGGTATACAAGGAGGGTGAATGGGAACCCATAGTATGTGTCTAACCCTGTGAGGCTAAAGCTCAGTCCTGTCCATGACAGGACATGTCATGTGTAGTCCTGTTATAGAATGGCACCATGATGGGATTAGCATTGGCCTCTGCCTCTGTTGGTTTGGGCACCAAGTACAGTCAACAGCCAGGTTGGCCTTGCAGAGAGTTAGCCTATTTGTTGTAAACACGTTGAGCTTCCACACCTGCTCACATGGCCATTCCTCAGTGCCTGCGTATGAGTGAGTGAGTGAGGGCATGAGTGAGGGCCACGAACATCTTCACGTTCTGTGCCCAACCCCAGAGGACCAGCCACACCCTCCCTGTCTTCATTTTATACTTTCATTCTTTTCTTTTTTTTTTCTTTCTACTTTTATTCTTTCCAAGTCCTTGATCAGGTGGCTCATATGGGGTACATATGCATAATGGGACCTAAGGACATTTCTCTTTCCCGCAAGGTGGTCCTCTGAAGTTTCACCACCTGAAGGATTTCCCTGCATTGCTTTTTCAGGGCCACATGGGTGCAGTCCTAACCAGCATCTGCCTGCTGCCTGGCACCAGCCCATCATACTGATGAGTCCATACACCTGGTCTGTTGTTTCCTTTCTCTGTAAACAGATCACAGGGAATGCCCATGAGCCCATAGGTGTAGGCAGAGAGAGATGCACCAGGAGCAGGTGCCGTGGGCATCCCAGCCATCTGCTGAGGCATACCCCTGTCTTTTCTATCCCTGCTTGAATCTAACCCCATACATATCTTTTCCGTGGATGGTGGTTGCAGCTGTGCACGCCCAGTGTCATGGTTTGCTAGTTTGCACCCAGTATGTGATGTGCAGTTTGGGACACAACGCTCTTGGTGTTTCTGGCCAGGTGACTTTGGCAGTTTGGCCTTCTACAACAAAATACCATGGCTTATCAGTAAGTGAAGTTTATTTCTTACAGTTTTGGAGGCTGGGAGTCCAAGATCAGGATGCTGTCTTGTGGGCTGCAGACAGCAGACTTCTCACTGTGCCTCCACACGGCCAAAGGAAAGGTAAGCAGCATTGGCTGCTTCCTATAAGGGGGCTCTAATGGTTGATTTTTACCTTCAGAGATGACCACATAGCTAGTAAAACGTTATTTCTGGGTGCTTCTGTGAGGCTATTTCCAGAAGAGAATAGCATTTGAATTGGTACACTGGGCAAAGATGGCCTGCACCAATCCTGTAGGCCTCTTCCAACCCTTTGAGGGCCTAAATAGAACAAAAATGTGGAGGAAGGAGGGACTTGCCCTCTGCTTGAGCTGGATCATCTGTCTTCTCCTGCCCTCGGACATCACCCCTCCCATTCTCTGGACTTCAGATTTAGACTGGGATTTATGCCACTGGCTCCCTGTTTCTTAGGCCTGAAGAATGATACCACCTTGGGGCGCTTGGGTGGCTCCGTTGGTTAAGCATCTGGCCTTGATTTCACCTCAGGGCATGATCTCAGGGTTGTGAGTTTGAGCCCCATATCAGGCTCCACACTGAGCATGGAGCCTGCTTGAGATTCTCTCTCTCTCTCCTCCTCCCTCTGCCCCTCCACCCCATTCACTCACATACTCTAGAAAGAAAGAAAGAAAGAAAGAAAGAAAGAAAGAAAGAAAGAAAGGAAGGAAGGAAGAAAGAAAGAGAAAAGAAAAGAAGGAAAAGAAAAAGAAAAAAGAAAAAAGAAAAGAAAAGAAAAGAAAAAAGAAAAAAGAAAAGAAAGAAAAGAAAAGAAAAAAGAGAAAAGAAAAGAAAATGACATCACCTGCCTCCCTGGGTCTCCAGCTTGCAGACAGCAGATCATGGGAGTTCTTAGCCTCCATAATCGCATGAACTAATTCCTCATCATAAATCTCTCTATATATATCGATATACATCCTATTGGTCCTGTTTTTTTGGAGAACCCTGACTACCACAGGCACTAATCCCATTCACGAGAACTCCACCCTATGACCTAATTACCTCCCAAAGCCCAAGCATCAAACACCATCACACTGGGATTAGGGTTTCAACATACAAATTTTGGGGTGGGACACACATTTAATCCAGTGCACCTGGCATCCAGATTCTACCCAGGCCCAGTGACAAGCCAGAATACCCTTTCCAAATCAATATCTGCACAGGGAGACATGGATTTTCTCTAAAACCTGGAGTTCTGCACTGTGATTCTCCTATTGGAGATTGTAAGATACTCCATAAAAAGTATTCTGGGTTTGAAACAGATGTTCTCACTGTCATTAATTCCTAAATATAATCACCCAGGAGTTATTTTAGAAGATTTTGATATTTCCAACTGGAATACTTTGGTGGGAGAAGGCTAGGGTTAATTTCTAGCATAATTCTTTTGGGTTTTTAATGGTTTGTCCTTTTTATGTTATGGCTATTTCCTCTATGGCCTATCATTTACTGCCCTGACAATTTTGATATTCAATTTTGATATTCAAATGTATCTGCACTTAAAAAACATGCAATTCTCCTTCTTTTAGCGCCAACATGAGGATTAGTCAAGTCTGATTTCCCCTTACAGGAAGTAAGGTTTTTGCCCAATTTTATTTATGAAATCAGTTACAAGATTTTAAAATTGAATTCAAGTAACTTATCCATTGCAAAAAAAAAAAAAAAAAAAAATCAACTGTGGGCTACTCCAGAAGACAAAGAAATTGGAATTTAGATTTTACTTATTTGCAGAGACTTTAGCCAGATTATGTTCATTTGCTTTCTAAACTATTGCTAAATTATTCATGTTGGGTCTAAAGTCAACTTCAATCAACAAAGAACCAACTTTTTTTTTAAGATTTTGTTTGTTTATTTGACAGACAGAGATCACAAATAGGCAGAGAGGCAGGCAGAGAGAGGAGGAAGCAGGCCCCCTGCTGAGCAGAGACCCCCCCCCCGCCCCCCCGCCCCATGCGGGGCTCAATCCCAGGACCCTGGGATCATGACCCGAGCCGAAGGCAGAGGCTTTAACCCACTGAGCCACCCAGGCGCCCCAAGAACTAACTTTTAAAGCTGTTTAAATTCTGCAGGCATGAGTTGCAAAAGTGAGGGTGAGGGAGACAATTTTTCTTAACCCCTTTCTTGTCTCAAGTGAGGGAGAAAGGAAAAGGGAGAAAGAAAAATGAAATATAGGAGCAAAAGAAACTTACAGAATGGAGAAGGAGAAACAGACAGTAGGAAGAGATGGAGTGAAGTTCAGGTTTATAGTATCTGAGGATTGGCCTCTGTCCTCTGGACACTGACCTCTAATCTGATCCCAGAATCACAAGCTCCCGCCCCACCCAAGCCCACATTCGGACCATGAATATCTTCTCATAACCTGTTCCTGACCCTGACCAGGCTGAGCCCTGACCCTAAACCTTCACTGTTATTTTTTCTGTAGACTTGAACTTCATAGAAACTAAGATGGCCACTTCTCCAAGAGATTCCCCAAGATGGTGCTTCTCAGGGTAATGGTGGCTGAGGTAGCCTTGTGCCCTGCCAGCCTTCCACTCCCCCATCTGTGTTGGCTGTGTCTCCATCTTACACATCCTCTGAAGCCACTCATTGGGAAAAAACAAATCACTTCATTGGTTTTGCATTCCTTGTCCTGCCTGTTCTCTTCTCAGACAAGCATCTTCCATTGTCTGGATACATTTCTTCCTTCCACTCACCCATTTGTCTCTCTATCTTCGCCTTCTGCTAAAGTTGCTTTTACCAAGGTCATCACATCCTGCCAGGTGCTCCTCAGGCTAGTTTTGTAGCATTTGACAGGACACACCACTTCTTTCCTGCAGTCACCCCTGAAAGGGTAAATACAAATCGAGAAAGAAAGAAAAATGAGTTTTCTCTGGAGCAAAAAGGGAGAGAGACCCCCACCCTCCTTTCAGAAGTATTTTCTTTAGGAAATGTGTAGTTGTAAGTAAATGCTTTCTTTGTCCCTTTGAGATGTATGTACATCTTGAAAACATCCACATAGGACTCTTGCTCCCTTTACAACTCAGGGATGTTTTTCTCAAGGACATGGGACCCTTCTCTTTGAAACAGAATCAGCAAGAAAGATAGTACCCCCAGATTATCTCCCAGTTTCTGGGCAAGGATAGGAGCCTAACTGAGGTGGGGTACCTCATTCCAACTTTGCAGAACTACCTCCAGTCATAAAGATATGAGAAGTTGAGGGGCATCTGGGTGGCTCAGTTGGTTAAGCATCTTACTTTGGCTCAGGTCATAATCTCAGAACCCCAGGATCAGGTCATTATCTCAGGATTTTGGGATTAAGCCCTGCATCAGCTCCCTGCTTAGTGGGGAGACTGCATCTTCCTCTTCCTCTACCCCTCCCCCTGCTCATGTTCCCTCTCTCTAGAAAGGTCTTTAAAAAAAGATATGAGAAGTTTATTTTTCCTTCAGATAAAACCGGTTAACACAAATGGTCATCCCAGTTACCAGGCTAATTTAGGATGAACTATGCGTGACAAATGGTGCTGTCAAGTCCTCTCACTTGAGGACTAGATAGTGTCCAGACGGAGAATATGTATATAATAAGTCCTAACTGCCTGGCTATTTAGTAAGGGGATGAGCTTTCTCTCTTTCTGTGCAATTGCTTAGTGGGTCGCCTGTGGTGCACATCACATTCTTCTTTAATGCTTATTCAAAAATAAAACTCTTTTTTTTTCTCTTCCACCTTGTGGAGAGGTTTTCTTGGTTGAGAGAAGAATTTATTTTAGTTTGTGTTTTCTCTCCCCCCCCCTTTTTATTGACTATATTTGACCTATTAACATTGTATAAATTCAAGATGTAGAATCTATTACTAACTTGATTCATTTAAGTATTGTAATATGATTACCATTGTAGTGGTATTTGGCACCTTGATCACATTACATAATTATCCTTTCTTTTTAGTGGTTGAAATAATTAAGTTCTAGTCTCTAATCAAGGGGCCAAGCATCAGGAGTCATTTGCACTTCCTTTTCTGTGAACTCCCTTCTTTCTTATGCATTTCCTTGTTTACCTATTCTTCTCTGTCCTTCAAGGAATCAAGCATTCTCTCCCCGGCAGGTCTTTCCCCATGGAATTCTTTCTCCCAACATCATAGCTGATCCCTTTCTAGACTCAGTTGCAACATCACCTCCTCCAGGAAGCCCATCAGATGTTTCCAGACTGGATTAACCCTTGACTGGTTGCCCATTGTCTGGGTTTCCATATGCTTACATATTCTATGTGTGCGCGTGTGTTTGTATCATGCCACATGGGTCTGGATTGTAAATATTCCAGAATATTTACAATACGGAAATGGGTAGAATGACTGTGAATGAGGGAATGCACCCCATGGCCCTGAGCTGCACTGCAGAAAAGTGGTTGAGCTCACAGCCTGGATCCCAAACCATCATTCCCTGGCCTTTGTGACCAGATGAGCTGCAGTTTCCACACTGTAGTTACAGGACAGAGACACTCACCTCAAAGGGTCCTAGTGATGCTTTGGTGGGTGCTCCCACTTAGTGCTCCCGCAGTTATCCTAACAGTAACCATGATCTCTGATGACTCACTGTTCATTACCAGGAGAATTGCTACTTAAAACAGCCAATGCTAATTGAGAGGGACAAGCAGACTCCTCACTGAATGTGAACCCAATGTGGGGCTCAATCCCTCGACCTCAGATCAGGACCTGAGCCGAAATCAAGTCAGCAGCTTAGGAAATTGAGCTACCCTGGTGCCCCCAAAAGAAAATTATATTTAAAAATCATAAGGAAGAAAAAATACATTTGCAGCACTATACTGTATTTATTGAAAAAATCCACATAAAAGTAGATCTGCATGGTTCAAGAGTCAGTTGTATTTATGTGCACAGGAGTTGACAGAGAAGTGAAATTTGAAGCAATTAGACTCAGGGGCTTCTATAAGGCATGATAAATCTTGAAGAAGCAACCAACAAATAAATGGGGGTAAGAATGGACAATAGGGTTATTGTAGGGAGGTCTGTTCATGCAGACTTGTCTCAGTGCTGACTCCCTGTCTCAGGAGGAATGTACGTTGCTCTTCTCTTTCTGGAGCAGGATGGGGACACAACTTCCCAGGGAAAACCTATGCCCTGCTTTTAAGGCAGATAAGGGGAGAATGGATAACTCATTCTACGTGTGCTGATTCTAAGTTGGCCTCTGCTCAAAATAATCTTTATGCTGAAGTGGCATTTTGGTGGGGGGGTGGTGGTGTCTCATATCCTGATCCTCTTCAGGCCATGGAAGGGTCCATCTTTTCCAACACACATGGTGGTAGTAAAAGTCTATGATACTGTTAGATAGGTTTCTGATTTAAATGTAGAATCTAGGACTCCGTGTCTCTTCAAGAACCACTGATTAATTCACTTATTGTTTCCTGCAGTCAAATGCTCTACTACTGAGTTATACCCCCTACTTATTGTTTCCTGGGCCCCTCCTCTGTGCCAATCCCCAGATATGAATGCCATCTATCCCTGGCCTTTCGGGACTCCTGGTTGCAAGAACACACACCCAGGGCAGGATACTCAGGCCTGTGAAAGCTGGAGTGACTTTGTAAGAGGTTGACTTGGCTAGACTGAACTACATTTCCCAGAATTCCCTTCCCTGGAGGTTTCCCGTGAGGCTGGGCCACAGGAGACATTTTTGCCAGAAATGACCACCATCTTGCAGTTTCACATCGAAGATCCAGGTGGGCACTTGTTGCGGCTCTCCCCAGTTGTTGCTCTTCTACTGGCTCGCCTTGCCCTGCTCCTTCTTTCAGCTCCTCCGACTCCTAGGCCAGGTGCGTGTTTAGCTATGTGACAGAGGACGCCAACTTCGCCTGCAGGACACCCACACCACCAAGACAAAGGCAGCAGGAATGACAGAGACTCCCATCTATCCTGATGGCTCTGCCTCATGCTCAAGGGTTCCAGCTTCCCTTCTTATCCCCAGTCTGGAGGCCAGGTTATACCAGGTGGGGTGACTACTCAGGAATCACAGTTGTCATGGATTCTGTTCCTGTGGTACTTTCCTGCCTAGTGTGATACAATGTTTTTGGTTCATTCTCAATAGGACTCTTTATTTGGGTCAGACTTCATTCTGTTTGAGTGCATTAGTCAGGAGCACAGACATGACCATTATAGAATGCCATGGCTCCTGAAAAGGATGAGGAAGGGGCTGTATCTCCTGCACCCAAGGGTAGGGAGGAGATGCCCACAGGGGAGGGCCATTAGAGGCCGGTCTCCTTCTTGGATTCCTGCCACTCAGACTGGGAAGTTATCTGCTGGAGCTCAGTTTTCCCTTCTACTGACTGATTCGCATCAGAATGCAAACATGCTACCAGTTCTCTCATCCTATTAAAAAAATATACCCTGTCTTGATTCCACTCCTTCCTAAACCTTCCACCCCTTTTTAGTAAAACTCCTTGAAAGGTAGCCTCCATGTTACTAAAGCTGATGTCTAATTCTGAGCGTTCATCTTAACCTGAATTATACCGGCATGTGTTTACCTGCCAGCACGCGTGGCTTTCCTCCTGCCTCTCCAGTTGCCCTGTGAAGAACGAACTTTTTGTCATGTTTACCATCTTCCCACTCTCTAGACACTGGAGAGCCCTGAGGCTCAGTTCTCCGCCCTCTCTTCCTTATTACCCAGCCCCACCTGCACTCCATGCTGCCCGCCCATCTTAAGCTTTACAATACTACGTACCTACAATACTACCTACATTTCCACATTTCTCTCTCCAGCCAGCACCTCTCCAACCTCATATACCCAAATACCTATTTATCATCAATGTTTGGATGTCCAATAAGCTCAAATTTAACATACCCAAAGCTAAGTTCCTAATATCCCTCCTTGCCTCCCCCCACCTACACCCCAAGTGTGTTCCTCTTGCTGTCTTCTTCATTTCCAGATAAATGGCAACTTACTTCCTCCAGCTACTCAGTCCAACAGTCTTGGAGTCATCCCTACTCCTGTTTCTCTTGCATTTTACATATAACCTGCAAGAAAATCCTATTTGACTCCCATCTTCAATGTATACCCAGAATCAGACCACTTGTCACCACCTCCACCAGTGCCACTCTGGTCCAAAACACCTGTGTCTCTCACCTGGATTAAATTGCAACAGTCTCCTTACTGGTTGCCTTAGGCTCTCTGCAGTGTATCTTCTGCACACAGAATCCAGAAAGATTCTTTTTTTTAATTTTTAATTTTTATTTTTTAATTTTATTTATTTGTCAGAGAGAGAGAGAGAAAGATAGAGTGTACACAGGCAGGCAGAGTGGCAGGCAGAGGCAGAGGGAGAAGCAGACTCCCTGCTGAGCAAGGAACCCGATGTGGGACTCCATCCCAGGACCCTGGGATCATGACCTGAGCCAATGGCAGAGGCTTAACCCACTGAGCCACCCAGGCGCCCCCCCAATAGTATTTTTTAAAGATTTATTTACTTATTTTTAGAGAGAGAGAGAACACGAGTGGGGCAGAGGGAGAGGGAGAAGCAGACTATGTGCTGAGCAGGGGCCCACCACAGGCTCCATCCCAGGATCTGAGCCAAAAGGAGACTCTTATCAACTGAGCCACACAGGTGCCCCTGTTGAGTTTCTTTTTTTTGTTGTTTTGTTTTGTTTTTAATTAATTAGTTAATTAATTTTTAATAAACATATAATGTATTTTTATCCCCAGGGGTACAGGTCTGTGAATCACCAGGTTTACACATTTCACAGCACTCATCATAGCACATACCCTCCCCAATGTCCATATCCCCACCCCCCTCTCCTGTCCCCCCTCCCCCCAGCAACCCTCAGTCTGTTTTTTGAGATTGAGTCTTTTATGGTTTGTCTCCCTCCCAATCCCATCTTCTTTCATTTTTTTCTTTTCATACCCCCCAACCCCCTCACATGGCATCTCCACTTCCTCATATCAGGGAGATCATATGATGCTTGTCTTTCTCCGATTGACTTATTTCACTAAGCATAATACCCTCTAGTTCCATCCACGTCATCACAAATGGCAAGATTTCATTTCTTTTGATGGCTGCATAGTATTCCATTGTGTATATATACCACATCTTCTTTATCCATTCATCTGTTGATGGACATCTAGGTTCTTTCCATAGTTTGGCTATTGTGGACATTGCTGCTATAAACATTCGGGTGCATGTGCCCCTTTGGGGCACCACGTTTGTATCTTTAGGCTATATACCCAGTAGTGCAATCACTGGGTCATAGGGTAGCACTATTTTCAGTTTTTTGAGGAACCTCCACACTGTTTTCCAGAGTGGTTGCACCAGCTTGCATTCCCACCAACAGTGCAGGAGGGTTCCCCTCTCTCCGCATCCTCGCCATCATCTGTCATTTCTTGACTTGTTAATTTTAGCCATTCTGACTGGTGTGAGGTGGTATCTCATTGTGGTTTTGATTTGTATTTCCCTGATGCCGAGTGATGTGGAGCATTTTTTCATGTGTCTGTTGGCCATCTGGATGTCTTCTTTGCAGAAATGTCTGTTCATGTCCTCTGCCCATTTCTTGATTGGATTATTTGTTCTTTGGGTGTTGAGTTTGCTAAGTTCTTTATAGATTTTGGACACTAGCCCTTTATCCGATATGTCATTTGCAAATATCTTCTCCCATTCTGTCAGTTGTCTTTTGGTTTTGTTAACTGTTTCCTTTGCTGTGCAAAAGCTTTTGATCTTGATGAAATCCCAATAGTTCATTTTTGCCCTTGCTTCTGTTGTCTTTGGCGATGTTCCTAGGAAGAAGTTGCTGCGGTTGAGGTCAAAGAGGTTGCTGCCTGTGTTCTCCTCAAGGATTTTGATGGATTCCTTTCTCACATTGAGATCCTTCATCCATTTTGAGTCTATATTCATGTGTGGTGTAAGTAAATAGTCCAATTTCATTTTTCTGCATGTGGCTGTCCAATTTTCCCAGTACCATTTGTTGAAGAGGCTATCTTTTTTCCATTGGACATTCCTTCCTGCTTTGTCGAGGATTAGTTGACCATAGAGTTGAGGGTCTATTTCTGGGCTCTCTATTCTGTTCCATTGATCTATGTGTCTGTTTTTGTGCCAGTACCATACTGTCTTGATGATGACAGCTTTGTAATAGAGCTTGAAGTCTGGAATTGTGATGCCACCAACTTTGGCTTTCTTTTTCAATATTCCTTTGGCTATTCGAGATTTTTTTCTGGTTCCATATAAATATTAGGATTGTTTGTTCTATTTCTTTGAAAAAAATGGATGGGATTTTGATAGGGATTGCATTAAATGTGTAGATTGCTTTAGGTAGCATAGACATTTTCACAATATTTGTTCTTCCAATCCATGAGCTTGGAACATTTTTCCATTTCTTTGTGTCTTCCTCAATTTCTTTCATGAGTACTTTATAGTTTTCTGGGTATAGATTCTTTGCCTCTTTGGTTAGGTTTATTCCTAGGTATCTTAGGGTTTTGGGTGCAATTGTAAATGGGACTGACTCCTTAATTTCTCTTTCTTCTGTCTTGTTGTTAGTGTAAAGAAATGCAACTGATTTCAGTGCATTGACTTTATATCCTGACACTTTACTGAATTCCTGTACAAGTTCTAGCAGTTTTGGAGTGGAGCCTTTTGGGTTTTCCACATATGGTATCATATCATCTGCAAAGAGTGATAGTTTGACTTCTTCTTTGCCGATTTGGATGCCTTTAATTTCTTTTTGTTGTCTGATTGCTGAGGCTAGGACTTCTAGTACTGTGTTGAACAGCAGTGGTGATAATGGACATCCTTGCCATGTTCCTGACCTTAGCAGAAAAGCTTTCAGTTTTTCTCCATTGAGTGGGTTTTTCATAGATGGCTTTGATAATATTGAGTTATGTGCCCTCTATCCCTACACTTTGAAGAGTTTTAATCAGGAAGGGATGCTGCACTTTGTCAAATGCTTCTTCAGCATCTATTGAGAATATCATATGGTTCTTATTCTTTCTTTTATTAATGTATTGTATCACATTGATTGATTTATGGATGTTGAACCAACCTTGCAGCCCTGGAATAAATCCCACTTGGTCGTGGTGAATAATCCTTTTAATGTATTGTTGGATCCTATTGGCCAGTATTTTGGTGAGAATTTTCGCATCTGTGTTCATCAAGGATATTGGTCTGTAATTCTCTCTCTTTTTTTTTAAGATTTTATTTATTTATTTGACAGAGAGAGTGAGCACAGGCAGATAGAGTGGCAGGCAGAGGCAGAGGGAGAAGCAGGCTCCCTGCTGAGCAAGGAGCCCGATGTGGGACTCGATCCCAGGAGGCTGGGATCATGACCTGAGCCGAAGGCAGCTGCTTAACCAACTGAGCCACCCAGGCGTCCCTGTAATTCTCTTTTTTGATGGGATCCTTGTCTGGTTTTGGGATCAAGGTGATGCTGGCCTCATAAAATGAGTTTGGAAGTTTTCCCTCCATTTCTATTTTTTGGAACAGTTTCAGGAGAATAGGAATTAATTCTTCTTTAAATGTTTGGTAGAATTCCCCTGGGAAGCCGTCTGGCCCTGGACTTTTGTTTGTTTGGAGATTTTTGATGATTGTTTCAATCTCCTTACTGGTTATGGGTCTGTTCAGGTTTTCAATTTCTTCCTGGTTCAGTTGTGGTAGTTTATATGTCTCTAGAAATGTATCCATTTCTTCCAGATTGTCGAATTTGTTGGCATAGAGTTGCTCATAGTATGTTCTTATAATTGTTTGTA